TCTATGCCTTATGATTTTCTGTTTCACACTTTCAATTCCTATTATCAAATCACTGCATACTTTCATGAACTCAAGCTTCAATCTTCACATTAATTTAATTAGTTATTTCAATAGCTGTGTTTTCCAATAAAACTATTTACTTTCATTTTATTCGTTTTCCTCCTACTGTTTAATGTCTCTGTTAATATTGTTATTGTTTTTGTTTAAATTAAAACTTCTGAATTAAAAAGAGTTTCAATTTCACATACTTTTGCATTTATGGAAAATCGATAATTTAGCATTCGGTACTATTCATGCAAATGGCAAATCTGAAAAACAATTTTTATCCCTTCATAGTAGGATATGTATATTTTTGATAAAAGATATACTTTGTTTACTAGATAATAATGTAAAAAAAACAATAAAATATATGCAACTTTTAGTCACGAAGTATTTCGGTGTTTATTTTTTTAAAGATTGAATCTGCAAGATTTAAATATTGGTCAACTCCATTTTGGATTACTATTACGCCTTTCAATTATTTTGGTTGTTATAAATAAATATCACATTCAATTTTTATATGAAAAAACCCAAATATGGCTAATTTTCTTATTCCTAAAAAAATAGCTAAAACTTCACATCTCTAAATATTATTAAAATATAAATTTTATGACATCATTTTAAACAATCATGATTCTTGATTGTATTTCAATCATAGATTTTCCACCGTGAGATTACTCTATGACATCACCCACCAAAGTTTTGGTAAAAAAAAATTTCCATCAATCGTTACCATGTCTAAAGGTAACTTACGGTGTTACCTTTAATACCCGTTGAATTTTCATAATAGAGATTATATCAAATCCAATAAAATTAGCAGCTTAATTATAAAATCTTTATTCACGTTTTGTAATATTTAATTGCTTACCATATTAATCATTCTAATTGATTCTAATTAATCTTATACATAGTAAACTTCTTTTCATAAGTAAAATGATATCTCTTCGAAAAAGGAACTTATAAGCTATGTTATCTTCTATTTCAAATTTAAATTTAAAATACATTTCAGTTTATTCACTTCCTCTTTTCTTCGTTATATATCTTCTATAAATAATACATAATTCTAAAAATTTTATTCTTCGATTTATGTAGGAACAATTGACATACTCCCTATGTAGAAAAATAGAGCAAAAACTCTTTCAGCATTGTCATCGACGATCAACAGTATGTACTTATATGCCTTTATCATTTTTTGTTTTGCATTTTCAATTCTTGTTATCAAATCATTGCATACTTTCGTGAACTTAAACCTCAATCTTCACATTAATCTAATTAGTTATTTCAATAGATGTGTTTCCTATAAACCATTTACTTTGATTTTATTCGTTTTCCTCCTACTATTTAATGTCTCTGCTAATGTTGTTATTGTTTTTGTTTAAATTAAAACTTTTGAATTAAAAAGAGTTTCAATTTCACACACTTTTACCTTTATGGAAAATCGATAATGCAACATTCGGTACTATTCATGCAAAGGGCAAATTTGGAAAATAGTTTTTTATCTCTTCATGGTAGGATATTTTTATTTTCTACAAATGAACATATTACCAACGTACTTCTGAACCATAAACACATTGTTATTTTGTTCTTATATCTGTATTGTTGTTCTAAATCATTGATTGCTGTCAATTAAACATATTTTCCCATACAAAAGAATAGCAGTATACTTCTAAATCATTAATACAATGTTATTCCATTTTTTATTTGTATTGCTTTTCTAAATTATTAACTGTTGTCAATTTTTTATATTTGTATTGTTGTTCTAAATTATTGATTGCTATCAATTTGACATGTTTGTCCCTACAAAAGAATAGTAGTGTGCTTCTAAATCATAAATATAATGTTATTCTTTTTTTATTTGTATTACTCTTCTAAATTATTGAGTGCTGTCAATTTGACATATTTGTCATTTACTTACTTCAACTTATTTTTTCTGTTTTTATTATTATTATTATTATTATTTTTTGTTTTTGTTAAATATATGTAGATGTTCATTTTCCATTTAGTGATTACTATTTTTTTTTCTAATTAGCACCTCACATTTTACCATTTACCGTGGCTAATAATATTGTTTTATCATATTTTTATAATTGATTGAATTTCATGGAATAAAATGATGTACTAAGATGAAATATAAAATTTTGTATTTTAATAGTACCTGATGAATAAAAGAAAAAGAATAGGAGGCTAATGAGACTGTCATCTAAAACTGTAGTTGATGAATACGTTATATAAGACATTGATCTTTTTTTCTTTGTATTGTACTATTGATATTTTTTTTAAATATATTTCACCCATTTATGATACTGATTTTCATTTTAGAAAATAATTTCTTCATACTCCCTAATTGTCGAGTTACTCGAAACCTTACATTACCTTCAGCATTCCTATCTTATAACATCATACACCCGAATGTGCAATCCACATTAATTTCCTCAAGGTCGCCACTTTCACAAATAACCAGTCAAGGTAAATTATTCTTAATTTCTTTTATATAATATTTACCTCCACATCTTAAATCATATATGATCAATTTTAATTTTCCAATATATTAACTGTTATCATTAATTTTTAATACATATATGTCTATAATGTTTAATTTGTATAAGTCATTTTTTCCTTTAATATCCAATTTAATGAGGCTTCAGGTTGGTTGTTCAACTAATGATTTAGATGAGACAAAAAACATTTGCTAAATGGATTCTTAAAATTTGTGAAGGTAATATTGGCGGTCCTAATGATGGTGAAACTGAAGTTGAATTTCTAGAAGACGTTAACGTTCGCTCTACAAGCGACCATATTCATTCAATTGTATCGACCATTTATCCATCTTTTGAAAACCATCTTGATGATCCATCATATTTTCAAGATAAAGCTATTTTGGTCCCTACAAATGAAGAGGTCGATGCTATCAATGATTGCATGTTAGGATTGATGAAAGATGAAGGGAAAACTTATTTGAGTTCAGATTCTTTATGTGAGATAGAGTCAACAGATTTTTTTACGGAATTAGTTTTCTCTCTGGATATATTGAATGCTTTTAAGGCATCTGATTCCTAACCATAAACTTACACTAAAACAGGTGTTCCGGTCATGTTGCTTCGTAATATCGACCAAGCCAAAGGTTTATGCAATGGTATTAGGTTACCAATTGTTAGGCTTGGAAAACATGTCATTGAGGCACGGATTATAACTGCTAGATTCTTTAATGAGACTACTTATATACCTCGAATGAAGTTAACTCTGTCTAATAAAAGAATCTCCTTCCGTTTTCAGCGGAGGCAATTCCGTTTGCTATGACCATTAACAAGAGTCAAAGACAATCATTATCAATTGTTGGATTGTATTTACGTAGACCGTTCTTCACTCATAGTCAGTTATATATAGTTGTTTCTCGCGTGACAAGTAAAAAATGTTTAAAGGTACTCATATGTAACGAAGAAGGTTGTCCAACCAATAAAACAAAAAAATGTTGTCTATAAAGAGGTCCTTCAAAGATTATCGATATTTAGATATTTCATTTTATTTTTAAATTTTTTCAATATAATCAATAACGAGAAGTGTTTCTGTTACTTTATCATTTTTTTAATTATTGTATCGGTTTTTTTTTATGACTTTATATGTATTTTTTATACGTTTTACCGTGTTCTACGCGGGTCATAACAAAATAAATTGGAAGAAGAAAAGCACGTACTAAAATGGTCACATGTGTCTAAATGATTAAACCGTTTTTTAAAGTTTCTTAGTTTTTTAAAATTATTACTATTCTATAAATTCCCATATTCTCTCTAATATGATCATGTTTCCTCTATCTTCCATGAATGTCCATTTTTTTAACATATTCTTTTTTTTAATCACTATTTTAAATTTCGATTATATCCCCTTAAATTTGTGGGCGTAACAATTCATAATTGATTTTTTGAATTTGCATAATTAACCATTATCAAATTACATAATTTTCATGATAGTTTATTATGAACAATACAATCTGAAAAAAACATCTATTGATAATTACTACTCATGTTTAACTATAACCAAAACAACGACCACTATATAATTACATAACTATTTTTTGTTTAATTATAATCAAAACATCACACATGATCATAGGTTTTCTAACCATTGTCTGTAACAGAAGTCCATAACTATTACAACATAACAACTTTAAAAAAGTACCCACTTACAACCAAAACACTTCGATTGACATTTTGTTGGGATGGTGAAGCCAATACCAACTCAAGTATGTTGTGTACTAAACGGAGTTGGTTATGTGGGGGCATACTTGAGGAGGTACTCCCTAAAGTAGAGTTTGGTGTCTTCGCAAATTATATTTTTCTTCGTCTCATCCTCCAAAGTCTAGTAACCTCATCTATATGTGTGAACTATATATACGTTTATCTTAACCAATTAAATATATTCATCTATGTGTGTGAACTATATATACTTTTATCTTAACCAATTAAATATCATAAGTATCATTTAATATAACCAATTAAATATCATAAGTATCATTTAATAATCATAACTTCAAAACAACTCTTGAATGATAATAATTAATAAGTTTAAAGTTAAAATCATTAGTACTCGTAACAAATCATAAGTAGATATAAGTTAGACTACTTTTGTGTAGTTATGATTAATAAGTTATAGAACTCTTGAGTGTTTATGATTAATAGGTTGATAGTTGAAATGTTATGTAAGTTTCAAATGAATATGATATAAGAATAGTGATTTATCTTGAACCACAATGTTTTGATAGATATCCTTTATAAGAAATATATAGATATAGATGTTAAAATATGTAGATCATGAAAAGAAGAGGAATGCGCTTGAGAGATGTAGAACCATCTTAATATTATATTAATATTAATTAAATATAAATAATAAAAAAGATAATATGATATCTAATAACAGTAAAATATCTATTTGAGATCAAATTTAAAACAAAATAAAATTATAGAAGCCAACCAAATAAAACATATACACCAAGTTAAGTGTTTATAAAACAAAATACAATGTTGGTCTAAAGTGACTTTATGTAAACCAAATGGACACTTTTGTAGAAGTGTCATCAAGACATGACCTCACAAATCACATCTACGACATAGAAAATCTTCTCCTACGAGGCTTTACATGATCTATTCCATCGTCAATATTCGACGTGTCTTTTGATCCACTTTTAAAAGGATTTAATTTTCCCAAAGTCTTGGACACTGATGAGAAGAGAGTAGGCTTCTTCATTTTCTTCGTTTTACTAGATGTCGCTTCCACTTGATTCTTTTTCAGATCTGATATGTACATCTTCATCGTTAATAATTCAGATCTTAAGGTTTCATTTTCTTTGGCCAATGCCACATCTGCTTGTACTTGACACCTCATGCTTTGGGCACCGGGTGTGCTTTGTCCATCGATATCACTTCTTATTTGTAATTGGTCATAGTAAACCGTGTGTAAAACTATTTGTAATGGAAGTCTTTTGTTTTGGGAAGCATGTGTCCTTGCTTCGGTAGATAGTTTAAGTGGATCCATCGTGCTACAAACTTTCTCTCGTTCGATTTCGTCCAAATTTGGATGAGTCTGGAAATTAGAAATTAGTGTTCATTAAAATATCTCTTGTACTCACACTATTAAATGAAGACTATATATTCTGTATTTTTTTTTTTTTTGAAGACTACATATCATTTTTATTTGTTTATTTTGCTTAATCCACCTAACGGTTTTATCAATAACTAAAACAAATATATTCATGTCATAAAAATATTGTATTTTGGGAGCTGAACGTTTAGATAAGCAAATTAGCAATGTCAAGTTACCTTGAGGTATCTATCAATGGCGCAGTAGAGATCATCGTCAACTTCTCGAGCATTTTTGGGCATCAAATTAGCAATTCCATTGAACTTAGAAATGCTCAATTCAGTAGCCTTGGCGATTTCAGCGAGATACGCGTCGATAATCTTCGCAACCCTCAGCATCGCCGGAGAAGGAGCCTCTCCAAAGTCACCGGAGTTAAATACCACCACACTCTTCTCCTTCTCCACGAATCCTATCACGATCCTCCTTACACTCTCCATATCACACAACCTCTCTCTGTCAAACGTGTATGACAGGTCCAGTAGATCGTCGATGGTTGCTTGATCTAGAATGACTGATATCCGCTTCTCGAGCTGCTTCTTACAATCGGCATTGGCTTCGAGGAAGATCGCTGTCCGGAGGAGGCAACATAGGAAATTAATTGAGAAAACAGCTTGTTGATTTTCGACAGGGAATAAAGCGACGATTGACTCTAGTAGGTTTCGTTGTTTGATTCTGGACACGGAGGAGTGATCGGAAATCGGAGATTTTACCGCGGCGACGGAGTGGTAGCGCACGAGATCCGGCAGCGTTCGCTTGGCGTAGGTTATGATTGCTCCGGCGATTATAAGTGCCTTGGCTCCACGTGATTTCATCGAATGGATGATTTTTTGAAAGAAGTTTATACCTACGATTGACAATTCTTCTGTCCACCAATTCGGAGGTGAACGACTGGGAAAATATGCTTCGTCACAAGCCTGCAAGATAACATCGATTCAAGCTTTTCATTAGTTTCGAGGTATTTTGCACGAAATGAAGATCTAATAAGCCATGAATGCTCATTTTTCTGAAACAGTTACTATCAAAACGTCAAATTCAACATCGATTTTGAATATTTATCAAGGATATATACCTTAGCGCTTGCCACTTCAACACATTGATTAACGATGTTGAGCTTTTCAGCTATAGGAAGAAGATCTTCACATGATTTTAAAACAGTAATGGCGCCACATAGCCGCGTTAAGGCTACTTTAGCGAGAAAGGCATACGTCCGGCTCGCAAGGTTGCCATGATCATTCATTTCGAGGTACTCTGCAGCACAGTGGAGAGCTGCTACATTATTTACAGTGATTTCAAAATTGACGCCATAGCAAAACCTTGCTACTTTCTCAAAGATCTCAGCTCCTCCAGGGATATTAGATAGATCTATCATCTCCAAATCAGGTACACCCGATTCTACAACTAAGCTTCTTATGTAGTTGCTCTTCGCTACCAACATAAACTGCCATTATAATACATGACTAAAACTAGTTAGTTACTATAAACATGCACATGCAAAGTCACTGTAGGATTTGAGAGATTGGCCTTAATTAATTCTCTTCTATGATCATATTCATACCTTGTGAAGTGGGAACTTTACTTCACCAACATGCACCATTATGTCGGTTGGTATATCTTCAGACAAAACCCTGAAACAGTAGAAATAAACGAGAGAAATAAGTTTTTTTGATAAATTGGGTGTTTGGTGGGTGTAGTTGTTGATGAATACCCCTGTTCAGTCGTATTCGTATCAAGAGAAAGCATGTCGGTGTTCTTGACCTGTGTCGCCATTTTTGCGATTTGTTAAAGAAAGACAGTTGTTACTTGTTAGGATATGGAGATGATCTCTTGGTCTTCTTTGTTATATAGAGGTAGTAAACTAGTAAATAGTAATAAATAGGATAAATAAAAAGACAGTGATGCATATTGGCCTACATAATAATTATACGTAGAGGTAGCAGTAATAAGTAAAAGATATCGTATCACGTAGCTTAACGAGATACCACACAATGATATATAAAGAATGAAAGCTCCCTGAAAACCAGGTACACACTCACGTGTAATTTACATTCCTTTTTTGATTTTCATCATTATCATATCCAAGGAGACTATATGTATGTATAAAAGCAAAATCTCATTGGTTTATAACCCTATTCTCCTTTATACGTTTATTTCTCCAACTTCTTTCTTTTTGTACTATTCTATATACTTTACATGGTTAGTTTAAGAAGTTTATGTCTTATTTAATATCAAAGGATTGAATGAAAAAAAAATGCAACATAGTTGTGTTATTTTTTTTATGCACGCAACATATATTTAATAACCATTTAATCTACTAACTTATCATTTTATGGCAGTCCCCTTGATTGTCAAATTGTTGCACCCCATTTAATCTACTAGCTTAAGGATGAATAGTTAGTACTTAGTACCAAATCTGAAATCCATACTGGTAGTGTATTGAAACCGATACCGACCCGCTACCTGATTTAAACATATGAAACAGTACTCAGTACTATAAAATCACGAAATTCACCAATATGTTAGTTCGGTTCAACACTTTGTATTCTTTTTTCACCCATTTAGGTATGCTGGATTCTCGAGTAGGTACCGAATCTGTCACATGCTCATCCCTACGCTAGTTAAAGAATTGGTTTCTAGTTTCTAAGCTGACTTATCAATAAATTATCTCAAATATCTTATCAAAAAATTAGTTTATAAGCTACGATAATATATTTGTGTGACATCATCAAATACTAAATTGCAATAAACCTAAAATAAGTTAGGCATCAAACACATTACACAACCTTAGTGAGTATCGGTTTAATACTTTAATCTCATAAAATAATAAGTATGTCCCCGATATACAGTAATATTACCAACAAGCACTACAAGAAAAATCCTAAATAGCTACGGAAAGTTACTATGGAATCAAAATCCGTTGCTATTTTACTACGGAATATGTTACGGAACGACTTGTCGTAGCTATTTTGCTACATAAATGGTTACGGAATTGCATTATGTAGCTAAATCTTAAATAGCTACGTAAAGTTGTTACGAAATCTAAATTCATAGTTATTTTACTACGGAATATGTTACAAAATGGTTGGTTGTAACTAATTTGCTACGGAAATGGCTACGGAATTGCATGCCGTAGCTAAATCTTGAATAGTTGCTACGAAATTAAAATCCGTAGCTAGTTTACTACAAATAATGCTACAAGTTTTTTGGTTGTAGCTAGTTCTCTATGAAACT